TATATATGAAAGCAATTTCTTCAGTTACACAGTGATGGGGCCTGTTGTCCCTCCCTCTTTACCTGCATGGTGTAACGTTGTCTGGCTGATGTCTCTGTCTGTAGTCACTCCCTTCCTAAACTATCCTGCACACAGTCATCATATCAACTCCCCAGAAGTGGCCTGCAAAGACCAGCATCTCCTGGGAAATTATTGAAGATGCAAATTCTTGGTCCCACTCTAGACCAATTGAATCAGTAACTACGAGGGCGGAGTCCAGAACTGAGTTCTAAGGCGCCCTCTCAGGGATTGTGATGTAGATCTATCTACAGCACTGCTGCGGTAACACACGGTTCCCCATGATGGCTCTTCAGCTGGGCATTCAAAGCCCAAGAAGATCTGGCTTCAATTTCCTACTCTCTCTCCTTGTACTCTACAGGTACTCATGGCATTCCTTGAATACCTTCCTGTGTTTTGCCCTTCTCCCATTTTCATTTTGCAAGCTTAGAATATTTTCCCCAAGATGTCTGTCCGATGTTACACAATGACCCTTCAAAGTCCTATTCAAATGGCATTGTTCTAGTAACATCCTCCTGGGTCCAAATTGAAGTCATTTTCCCCTCTTCTATGCTTCAGAAACAATTTATCCCTCCTAGTTCCCACACTGATTTCTTTTTAATGTAGTTATTTTTCATCCCATTTTTTCTGAGCATAAACTCCTTGCAAGCATGGACTAGGTCTTGCTCATCTGCATTGCCCACCATATTTAAAACTGACACGTGGAAATAAAGCAAATTCAAATATTTGTAAAATAAATGAATAGCTGGCGGAGTGAGTAGAAGGAACATGACTATTTTAAAGGAATTGTAGTTTTATAACTTCATGGCCTCTGCAGCACTTTGGCATCCACTTGTGGGTCTTTATACCCACTTTCCTTAAGCCTTCTACATTTGAAAGAATCTGCTTGCAAAAGAGCATCACTAATGAGCTTAATAAGGATTAATGACATACACACCTCTATGGACAAAGGATAAGAATCATGCTGTCATAGCAATGAACATAGTATCTTCTTGTCTCTAAACAGATAGAAATACTATGCAGGTATTGCTTTCTTGGTAACAGGGCTGGGGAGATAGTTATTTTGTAATTAGCGGAGAGTTGGGGGCATTTCTGACATGCTTACTTAGTGTAAACATTTCTAACTCTACCACTTAACCATCATTTTAAACATCTGTTTTAATATAACAATTCCTGAAATGAAATCCTTAATATCAGTCTATTATCTTGGGAGCTTAATATTCTTGATAATATTATTTATATAATTCAGCAGATTTTTAATATTTAAATGTTAATTTAATTCCGATTAAATTACCAAAAAATTCTGGATTAATGATGTTCAAATGAATGTAGGTAGTCTATGTTTTCTTCTCTGTTAGACAACAATCTGAAGTTAACGTTAATTCCTTTCATCCTACTAAACCAACCTTTTCAAATCTTTTTTTGTGAAGGTCAGACAGTAAATATTTTAAGGCTTTGTGGGCCACATGCGATCTCTCTCGCATATTTCTCTTTCTTTTCTTTTTCTTTCACAGTCCTTTAAAAATGCAAAAAACATTCTTAACTTAATGGGCTATTAAAAAAATAGACCTTAGATAAGATTTGATCTATTGGCTGTAGATTGAATAGAAGAAGATGGTGTGTAAACCCTTGTAAAACAAGGTTCATATGGGTGTCAGTCACTGCTCAGATCTTATTACCATGTGAAATTTTTTCTCTCTGTATAATTTAAAAATTGAAATTGCACAGGAGGTAGCTAATGCTAGAGATGGGCTGAGACCCTATACAAACTTACAGAATTGCAGAATTTTATTGCTCGAAGAAATCTTAGAGATTATCTAATTTGAACCCCTTATTCATTTTACAGATAATAAGACTAAAAACTCATAAATATAACTAACTTACAAATACCAGAGGGATAGCAGGCCTTCAAATGAATCCTTACGTAATTCAGTCAAATAATTTTCATTGAGAATTCTGGAAAATGAAAAAGTTATTTCTAGATTAAAATGCAAACTACAACAATTTGTTACACAGGACTATCTCCTGCATATGGAGGAAAGCTGGATCATGGTCATTTCAAGATGGTGATATCTGCTCTGCTTTCATTAAAACCTTTTCTTACATTTTCCTTTTTGTGTTCATCTCTCTCCACCACACACACACACACACACACACACACACACACACACACACAAGCAGGCACACACAAGCACACCGCTACCCACTCTTCACACCAAATTGTAAATGTCATGCCTCCTCTCTAGATCACAGAATACCTTTCAGAATCCAACTCTGGGTGGCACCAAGATCATCAGAACCTCCATTTCCTCCTCTGTTTTCCCAAATCTTTTTTTCTTTTTTCTTTTTTCTTTTTTTTTTTTTTTGAGACGGAGTCTCGCTCTGTCACCCAGTCTGGAGTGCAGTGGCGCGATCTCGTCTCATTGCAAGCTCCACCTCCCGGATTCACGCCATTCTGCTGCCTCAGCCTCCCGAGCAGCTGGGACTACAGGCGTCCACCACCACGCCCGGCTAATTTTTTTTTTTTTTTGTATTTTTAGTAGAGACGGGGTTTCCCCATGTTGGCCAGTGATCCCCATGTTGGCCTCGTGATCCACCCGCCTTGGCCTCTCAAAGTGCTGAGATTACAGGCGTGAGCCACCGCGCCCGGCCATAAATTTTCCCAAATCTTATTATGAAAGCTTCACATGGAACCATGTCAGGGCTGCAAGTGAAGCCATTCAACTTTTTCCCCCATTAAAAAAATTTGACAACTACAATCTGCGTAAAGTGCACATAACATAAATGTTGTTTATATTTAATTTAATTTCTGAAACAGGGTCTCACTCTGTTGCCCACATTGGTCTCAAGCTCCTGGGCTCAAGTGATCCTTCTGTCTCAGCCTCCCAAAGTGTTGCGATTGCAGACATGAGCTACCTCACCTGGCCAAATATTCAGTTTAATAATTATAAAGCAGATACCCATATAACAGCATTACAAAAGATCATTGTTAGCATTCCAGAAGCCCTAGTGTGCCCCTTTCCAATCATATCCCTCTCTCTAACCCTAGTAGGTAACCACTCTCCTAACTTTTGTAATAATTTTCTTGCTTTTAAAATGTAGTTCTGGCCTGGTGTGGTGGCTCATGCCTGTAATCCCAGCACTCTGGAAAGCCAAGGCGCGTGAATCACCTGAGGTCATGAGTTCGAGGCCAGCCTGGACAACATGGTGAAATGCTGTCTCTACTAAAAATATAAAAATTAGCTGGGCATGGTGGCGGGCACCCGTAATTCTAGCTACCTGGGAGACTGAGGCAGGAGAATCCCTTGAACCCGGGAGGTGGAGCTTGTAGTGAGCCAAGATTGCACCATTGCACTCCAACCTGGGTGACAAGAACAAAATTCTGTCCCCAAAAATAAAGTGATTCTCCTTTCTCAACTTCCCAAGTAGATGGGATTATAGGCACCCACCACCAGGCCTGACTAATTTTTGTATTTTCAGTAGAGGCGGGGTTTTGCCATATTGGACAGGCTGGTCTCAAACTCCTGACCTCAGGTGATCCACCTGCCTTGGCCTCCCAAGGTGCTGGGATTACAGTTGTGAGCCACTGCACCTAGCAAGTGTTTTATTTTTAATTTAGAACTCATGTATGACTTGTCTATATAAGTTGAACTAATGATGTGACACATAAACTGTTGTGGAAAATGTTACTTAGAATGTAAGCATGTTTTCCAAAATCATTTATATGTCTAAACTAATTTCCTCTATAAATCAGTAAGAAAATGATAAAACAATTCAAATGGAAAATGAACAAAGGACAGAAAACTCAGAGAAGAAACACAAATGTTCAATACACATATCTGATAATTCATGAGTTATCAGAACAATTCAAATTTGGATGGAATCCCTTTTATTCATCCATAACTTCAACAAAAAGTTGGAGAATACCCAGCGGTGAAAGGTGTGGGGAAATGAATGCTGTCATATTTTGCTGCCAATAGAGTAAGTTGGCACAACATTTTTGAGGGCAATTAAAATTTTATATCTACATAGTCTTCACCCCAACAATTCCATTTCTAGATATCTACTCTACAGAAATACTTGCCCGTGTTCACAAAGAAGCATGTACAGGGATTTCATTGCAGCAATGCATGTAACAAGAAAATTAAATATAATCTAAACATTCATCAATGGGGGAATTATTAAATAAACTATGATGCATCCAGACTATGGATGATGCGGGAGTTTAAATGAATGGGGTGACCCTCTAAGTACTGAGAAGGAAAGAAATCATGAAGTGAAAGAATATATCATATGATAAGTGATACACTTATATCATATAAGTGATATACTTATCATATGATATCATATAGGTGATACACTATCAAATGATATCATATAAATGATATCATGAAGTAAAAGAATCAAGTTGCAAGATGTTACCACTTATGTAAAGAAAAAAGATTTTAAAAACCACACAACAAATCTATTTTGCTTTATGTAAATATGAATGTAGGCAAATGGGAAAAGTCTGGAAGCATGTACACTAAATGCAGAGTAACATTACCTCAGGGATGAGGGAGTAGGGCACAATGTTATTACATTTTTATACATTAAAAATAGAATCATGGGCTGGGGGTGGTGGCTCATGCCTGTAATATGAGCACTTTAGGAGGCCAAGGTGGGAGGATCACTTGAGCCCAGGAGTTCAAGACCAGTCTAAGCAGCATAGGAAGACCCTGTCTCTACAAAAAATACAAAATTAGGTGGGCGTAGTGGCTTGCACCTGTGGTCCCAGCTACTTGGGAGGCTGAGGTGGGAGGATCGCTTGTGCCTGGGAGGTGAAGGCTACAGTGAGCTGTGATTGTGGCACCGCACTCCAGCCTGGGGTACAAAGTAAGATCCTGTCTCTTAAAAAGAAAAAAAGAAAAAAGAGGAAAAAAAAGAATATAACCATGTATTATTTCTATGATAAAAAATAAATTTAAATTGCCTCTTATTTTAAAGAGAGTCTACAAAATTTAATTTTAAAATAACCATAGGATTGCAGTCAACAGGGGAAATATCTTTTCTCAAAGGTACTGACCTCAAAATTCTGGACCAAGAAGGCTCTTACAATGCAGTTAGTTTTTTGTCATATTTGAAGAGAATATACTCACAGTTTCTCGGTCTGACTGTATGCTTTCCATCCATTTCCATCAATGTAAGAAATATACTTTCCTTGGAAATTTCTGTGAAGAAACACAGTTTATATCATTGAATAGGTAGGAAAAGAATGGACAGGAGAAGTAAAAGAATCCTGGCAACCTTGTCGGGGATATTCGGTTACAGAAAATAACACCTGCTTTCTCATTTCCGGAGCTATCAGCTTCCTAATTTGCACAATTCATCAAGAAGTAATGCGGGGCCACTGGCACAAATGATGAGGCATCTCCCGGAAGCTTAATTTCCTATCCATCCCATCTCTTGGACAGACATTCCAGTTGATTACTTTGAATGTAAGTATTTTATCCAAAAGCACTTATATGTCTAAACAAACTCCTACAAATCAACACAAAAATGGTAAATAATTCAACAGAAAAATGGGCAAAAGCTTATCATTATCAATAAATAAGCAGAAAGAAACCCTGTGCCAGGTAGCACCAAAGCTTTGCCCTCTGCTGAAACATCCTAGGCTTTTTCTTTCCACTCTTATTACAACCGACCTCATTTGGCCCCTTCACACTTTACTCCTACGTTTTGCGAGACCTTTCTATTTTGTCTCCCTGAAATAAGCTTTTCCTTTTGGGCACTCTACATATGGATTCTAAAATAATCCTTTGCATGTCTACACTTGAACATAAAGCAAAAAACAAAATGAAATAAAATAATCCTCTGGTTTAATCATTCATCTCTCTTGCTTGGAAACTTTCCATGGCTTTCCATACCTCACTGTGTAACTTTCAAACTCCTATAGCTGATAGTCAAGGTTTTACGTAATCATATCTTCACTGCTCCCTCACCTAATTCTTTGCAGCCAAATTGGTCTACTAAATTCCAACCATAGCTGTAGCCATGCCTTTGCCTAGACTGTACTCCCATTTTTTTTTTCTATTTAACAAATTATAGCTACTCTTTAAGACTCAAGTAAAGTTTTAGCTTATCCACGTAGCTTTCCCTGATCTCTACACCTCAAGAATCACTGATTCTGATAAATTATAGCACTGATGGTCTGCATTATCTTTTAGTAATTAATTATATATATACCTCCATTTTTATGCCTATTCTCTTTCTTCCCTCCTATCATTTTCATGTTCTGGAGACAGTAGCGTACTTGGCCCTGGGTTTGACACAAAGTGAGTGCTACATATAGAAAGCCAGGGACAAAGATGAGTTGTGGACATAACTAAAGGACTGAGTAATCATGTGAACAGCCAACACTCCTACATATGCTAGGCACTGATGAAATGTTTCATGTATTCACTCACCTACATTTCACAGCAATCCTATGAAATGGGAACTAGCATAACCCCCAGTTGAAAGGTGAGGAAATTGAGTCACAGAGCGGAATAACTTGCTCTGGGTCACCAAGCTAATAAACAGCCCTGGGTTCAAACCCAGGCAGCCTGGCTCTGGAATCAACTCTTAACCACTTAGAGCCTCATCACTGAGATCGGGAGAGGGACAGGCTGCTGTAAAGAGGGTGAAGCGAAAATGGGAGGAGAGCAGTGGTTAAGCAATGATGTGATGGGGCTAAATAAAAATGGATGAGAAAGTGAGTAAAAGACTGGAGGAAGAGGAAAAGTCTGGAGTAAAAGTAAAGGACTGGAGAGGGGCCTAACAGTAAAGGAGAATAAAGAGAAGGGAGAGCTGACAAGCAAAGGTGAAAGCAGAAAGTCAGTTGCCCGTATGGCTTGGGGAGATAAAGAAGGCCCAGGAAGGCCTCCAGGAAAAGGCTGCCATGTCAGGCAGGACACAGAGGACAATCAAGGAACGGTGATTCTTACAAGATGGTGAAGGTGCCATTGTAGGTGTTGGGCTCTGGCACAGGCACTTGGCGGAGCCTCTGCTTTGGGCTGAGATTAATACATGACAGTGTCTCATCTCCGCAGGTACAGAGCTCACATATGTTGGTGCTTGCGGAGGCCTTCTGTTCCTCTCGTGCAGTTAAATCCTTATTTTGGGTGTAACTTTCAGACTGCACCAGTGAATCCTGAGTAGGTTCTAGTTCAGTAGGTGAACCTGTGACTTCAGTCAGGCTTCGATGCAGAGTCTGAACCTGGTCTGGATGAGGAGCTGTAGTCTTCTCCAGGGCTATAGAATGTCCAATCTCTGTAGGGGGTTCTGGAGTGATGGCAAGTCCCGGGTCTGGAGGCTGAGTTGATGTCTCCTCCGTGGTTGGAGACTGTTTAACCTCTATAGGAAGTTCTGTAGTTATGGTAAGCTCCAGGACCAGAGGTTGAACTGTGACTTGAGTCAGGTTTGAATGCTGAGTCTGACCCTTGTCGGAAGGTGGAAGTGTCACCTCAGGGTGTTTTGGAGGAGGAGCTGTAGTCAGGGCTGTAGAAGGTTCAACCTCTGTCGTGGATTCTGGAGTGATGGTAAACCCTAGGTCCAAAGGTTGAACTGTGGCTTGAGTCAGGTGTGAATGCTGAGTCTGAACCTGGTCTGGATGTGGAAGTGTCACCTGACGGTGCTTTGGAGGAACTAGAGTCTGCTTCGGGGTGTAGAATGTTCAGCCTCCGTAGTGGGTTCTGGAGTGATGGTAAGTCCCAGGTCCAAAGGTTGAACTGTGACACTGGGCAATGTTGAATGCTGAGCTTGATCCTGACCTGGTGTTGGGACTGTCACCTCATAATGAGCTGGAGGTTGAGCTGCAACCTCCTTAGGTGGCTCTGGAAGCAGAGCTGGGACCATCTGCTGGCTTGAAGGTTCTACCTCCTTAGGGGGGCTCTGGAGCCTGAACTGTGACCTCCTGCTGTGTTGGAGAAGGTTCTGCCTCCTCAGGGGGCTCTGGAATCTGAGGTGGAACCTCCTGCTGAGTTAGAGATGGTTCCAACTCCTGAGGGAACTCTGGAGGCAAAGATGGGGTCATCTGCTGGGTCAGAGAGGGTTCTATCACCATAGGGGGCTCTGAAGACTGAGCAGGGACTGCCTGCTGGACTGGAGAGGATTCTACCTCTTTAGTTGGCTCTAAAAACTGAGTTGGGGCCTGCTGTAGGACTGGAGATGGTTCGACCTTCTCAGGTGGCTCTGATGGCTGAGCTGGTATCTGCAGTGGAGGGCTGACCTCTTCAGTGGACTTTGGAGGATGACCTGAGGCTTCCTGCTGAGTTGCAGATGGTTCAACCTCCTTAGGGGGCTCTGGTGGCTCAGCTGGGAACTCTTGCTAGACTGGAGAAGGTTCTGCCTCCCTGGGGGGATCTGGAATCTTAGCTGTGGCCTCTTGCTGGACTGGAGATTCAATCTTTTCAGGAGAATGCAGAGGTGGGGAAGGGAGATCAGGCTGGGCTAGAGAAAAGTCAGCCTGCTCAGTGGGAATAGGAGGGTTGTCCTGCTGGGCTGGAGAAGATTCAATCTCCCCAGAAGGCTCAGAAGGCTGAGCTGGCTGCTCCTGCTCACCGGGGGAAAGTTCAGCTCCACAGGAAGAACGGGAGGCACAGTTGGGAACCCCTGTTGGGTTGCAGAAGGTTCCACCTCCTCTGAAGGCTGAATTGGGGCCTAACATTCTGTCTCGTTGGTAGGCTCTGAAGTTATGGTAACCTCCACATCTGCAGGTTTAACTGTAATGTTGGGCAAGTTATAATGAGCTTGATCCTCACCTGGAGGTTGAACTGTCACCTCATGATTCGGTGGAGTTTGAGCTAGACTCTCCATAGAAGCCTCTGGAGGCAGCCCTGGAGACTCAACTGAGTTCACCGGAGTTCTGGAGGCAGGCTGCTGGCATACAGTATATCCATTCTTGAATATTCATCCTGCAAAGTTTGTTTCTGACTTTGAGGTTTGGATAATTGGTTAGCAAGGCTCCAGTGCTGAGCTAGATCTTTCTTCAGGTTCTTGGGCGAAACAATAAATTTGGTTGGTTTTGAAACCTTACTGTCTAGTGGAACAAGTATTTCATCTGCCTGATGACCTGCAGCCCGATCTAGATCTGCAGTTTGAACCTTACTTTTGAGGTGAGGAGGCTGAACTGGGTCTAGTTCTGATCCCCATCCAGCACTGGAACCACCTCTGGGAGCCTTTCTTGCGGAGTCAGCTTGTCATTTAGATCCTGGTGGGCAGCCGAGAACTGTTCTGGCCCCGGGGGCAGCTTTCCAGCTGAATCCGTGTCCAGGAATGGAACCAAATTTTTCAGTCCATTCCTGGGGCAGGACTCACATCTGGGAGGAAGCAGAGGACCCCAGGTAATCAAAGCCCTCCGGGTCTGCCAGGGGAGTAAGCGCATGGGGAGATTCCCATGAGAGATCAGATGAGCAGGAAGACCAGGGCTCAGTCGGCCCCAGGGGTTACAGGTTAGCTGGAGCGATTGGGTCCTTGACCCACTCCAGAGGCTGAACTTCCTGGACTAGAAGCCACAAGAGTTGCCACGTGAGGAGGGGGCCGTGGGCCCCAGAGACGGAGCCGGGACATGACACACGCTGGCGCCTCGCACTGAGTGTGAGCCATTCTGGCAGCCCGGAGAGGCTCGTGCCCCTGATAAGAGTGCGCCCAGCCCAGTCTTTATGACATCTTTATGCCACCTTTATTAGGCTCGGGTCCAGATCTGCTCCGTGTCACCGTGGCAATCTTATGTCACAGTCCCGCCCAAGCCCTCCTTCCCCTCCACCCTCGCTGGAACACCCCTCCTCTCCCCTCCCCTTAGCGAGGAAGGATTTGGGCCTCAGACCCGGGTAGTCCCAGGACTCCAGCGGCCTGTTGGGGTGGGGTGGGGTGGGGTGGGGGCGCGGCAGAGCTTCCCAAGGAAGTCACCGTGGGACCCTGCCTCAGGATATTCAGAAGAGCTAGTCCAGTTCTGGCAGCCTGAACTCTTCCTCCTCCAAGGTGAAATTCAAGAATACTCTTCCTTGCAAGGAGAGCAACTGACCTGCAAAATGGGCGCCAGTTAGGGTGGCAGGCAGAACGCACATTGTAGTCATTTATTCCAAAATTTGCCATTTTCGCCAAAGTTTCGGTATCTTTTGTTGCATGTTTGATAATTAATTCACCACCCTATTAGGTAGGGGCTGCCAGGGAATAAGCGAGGACTCCACATTTTCTGTAGGCGGGGTGTTGGGGGTGGGCAGTTCAGTCTGGGAGAGAAGGCTTTAATCCGAGTGAAGAGCCCTTTGCACTACCCTGGGAGGAGGCTGAACTGTCACCCTGCCTTGACTTAACACAGCCATTACCCTAGAAATTACAGCGCCACCCTTCAGAGATCAGCCCTGTGTGCACACATGAAGAGACTTAGGTTGTTAAAGTCAGCATGTTAAATAATTTCTTGAAAGGCAACTATAGAACCCAGCTGACTTCCCCCACAGCC